AGCGTGTCATTCATATCTTCCACTGTATTGCAGTCTTGTAGGCAATGAAAACGATTTTGTAATTCGCGCTGAAAGCTTTCGAGACCTTAGCGCACGAGGGGTTGGAGCGTTGAATTCATTAGACGACACCTTTCCAACTTAACGTTTAAGTTCAGTGTGCATCTAACAATTCAGTGATCGCTGCCAGTTTTCACCCTCGCGATCACTAAGACATCACTGTACAGTTGGCGTCGGATTATCATAATGAAGTCAATCTCATTTTTTATCGAACCGTCGGTGCCCAATCAGGTACACTTCCTGTGATGCCGCTTCTGGAAGAAAGAGTTCATCATAAAGAGTCCCTATTTCTCCATAAAGTCGGCCTGCTGCTGTCCCCTTGGGTTCCGTTGCCCTATTCCAAATTTCCCTATCTTCAGCTCACCGTTTTTTCTTATGCCTAGTTTTGCGTTGAAGTCTGCCATCAACACTGTATAGTGGGTTTTTGAGGAATGCATGGCGCTAGAGATATCCTCATACATTTTCTCCGCCACTTTTATCAGGCTGTGCCGAAGTTGGTGCGTAAACCTGCATGATCTTCAGCGAATACCGTTAGGTGATTCTGAGTATCTGGTACGCGACCCTCGTCGACACACTCCCAATCTTTACAACATTGTCGACAGTAGACTTGTGGACGATAAATCCGACACCTCCTTGGGACAGATGGTCGCCCTCTCGGTGATAGAACAAGTTGCCGGATTCGAGGATTACCGTGCCTTCCCCCTCTCTTCGCACCTCGGATAATCCTATAATATGCCAGCGCAACTTTTCTACCTCTTCTTCTAGCTCGAGTATCTTCTCGTCAGTCCTGAGGGTACGTGCGTTATATGTTGCCAAGTCGAGTCGTCGTAGTAAAGTAAAGGTATAGTAAAGTTATAATGATTTCTTAACCGACGCTCCGGGAAGTCTGCAGTCTGCGAACATGTTCAAGATCGTCCCCACCATTATATTAGATTTGATAAACCACAAATCCTCGCAAAAGAACACCGATTCCTACCAAGGATGATACGCGAGGCTATTGAAATTAAAAAACATCCAAATTTCAATAGAGAAGACGGATGGGTGCTGCCAGCTGCTTGGGATCCTATAATTTACAAAATTAAACCCAAACCCAAGCATACCACTGCAAGACTTCATGATACTATAAGCTTGTTTTGCGTAAATCGGACCAAAAATTAATATTCAAAAACTGAAGGTAGCCGGGCTAACTATGACATTGGGACGTCAAACATCTCAGTCGTCCCCCCCCCGTGACCACGGGTGCTGTAAAGCACCCGAAACGTCGGGATAATAAAAATAAATTAAAGTTGAACTAAACGCGATAAACTCCGTAAATAATAGTTTTATTCAATGTAAAGTAAAGGTGCAGCCTATATACGTCCCACTGCTGGGCACAGACCTCTGCTAATTTCTGAGAGGGTTTTAGGGCAAGGAATTGTCCGCCGCGCTGCCCCAATGCGTGTTGGCGAACTTCACATGTCTTCGAAATATTTTTTTTCTTATTTCTCTGACATGCAGGTTTCCTCACGATGTTTTACTTCACCGCCGAGCACGTGGTAAATCAGCACTTAAAATTGCAATTAACAATTTCATTGGTGCCGACGGGGATCTAACCCGGTTTGCTCGCGTACAGTGAAATTTACAGCGAGCGCTAACCATCTGAGCTGCCACGGCTCTTAGTAGATGGCAACTGAACCTCCACCGGAGATTTTTAGCACCCCTCGACCCGCCGTTACCATGGTCGCCACCGTAGCCAGGAATAGCGGAACCGTCGGGGATTGGGGGCCGTTTCTTCGTAACTCTCATTATGGGGGGTATAGTGCTATAGTTGCCACGCTTGGCGAGTAGGTTTTCAACTGCAGTTTTTATTGTATTATTGCTGTTATCAGGAAGATGCGGTTGCCTATCTCCTGCCAAACAGGAGATGGGCAGCAACATACCCTGATAATAACTAAAAAATAAAAAAGCTCTGACTTACATATCTGCCAAACGTGGCAACTATGGCAATCTATAGGGGTCATTCTACTTGTTCAGCAGTGGACTTTTGATAAGTTGTAACGGTAACTGTAACGGAAGAATGAATAAATGTGTAAAAATAAATAAATTTAAAATAAGTATATTTGAAATAAAGTGACAAATATTCTTCCGCCAAAGAAATAAATATGTTCCACTTCATATCCTTTAAATATTCAAAAATAACCTATAGAAATATTGTATAGAAATACTTACAAGAAAAGCTCTTCTTCTTCCGAAGACGATCCCTGTCCAAATCTTACATTCAATCATAGCAAATGCAAAAATGCTGCTCAATCCTTATTTCAGGCGCATAGTTTAAATTAAATACGAGTTAGTTAATTCTTGATTTTTATTCTATTTATGCAATTTTCAATTGGAAAATAATTGATTTATTAAATATTCGTAGTAATTTTATACGCATAAAATTTAAACATTCAAAATTTCAAAGATTTTTGTCTAAAAATCCGATGAGTCGTTCTTATTTTATTAATTATTTAAATTTTTCGATGTATAAATATCAACCAAAGTGATAATAGCGTGGGCTCGTTAGTAAATATTGTGATTATTCCATTTATATTATTTATATCTATTACATCTCCATATCAGTGTCAAAGGCATGAAACTAATTTCATGCCTTCGAAACATCTAAACATAGAAAACATAAACGTAAACACTCACGCCGGTCACCCGGAGGGATAGGCAGAGACTACAGACTTTCAATTGGCACGATCCTGATACACCTCTCTTGCCTCCTCCACATCCATATACCTACGCATGCATGCTCGTCGGTTAAGGGTACTCCTATTTTGGCCCGTTTTCAATATTTCGCCAATTTGGTCGATAAACTTTCACCTAGGATGTCCCTTTATGACTCTGCCGTTCACTTATGCAACATAAATTTTCTTTGTCACTCTTTCCTCATTCATTCTTTCCACATGACCAAACCACCGAAACATTCCTTTCTTAATCCTGGTCACATCATCTTGCAAACCACGCTTTTCTCTTATCACACAATTTCTCACCCTGTCAGTCAGATTCAGCCCCAATATACTCCTTTACGACTACATTTCTACTGCGTTTATTCTACTCTAGTGCTTCTTCTACCACACCCTACTTTCACTACCATACGATAAAGTAGGGACTAAAACAGCATTGTGACTTGCCATACGTGCCTTTTTTGATACATTCTGACTTTCACAATAGTGTGTACGTCTAAACGTTAATTAGGAACTGCTAATTTCCCGAGATTAGGACAGTTCGCCATATCCAGCATGGTGTGTGTATGAGCTGTTGAGAAGACGGCTATTTAAGAACTTTTTAGTTGTATTTGAGTACTTTTTTCGTGGTTATCAATGGTATGAAGCCTTTTTTAAGTTTTAATTGAAGCTTGCGTCTTAATTATGAGTAAGACAAATATTTAATTACATTGTTTTCAATTTTCGACTGTCCGGATCCGGAGGACCTTAACAAGATATACTTAGTTCCGAATGAGACTAGTTTTAGCCTTAAGCAATGTAATCTGCTTTATAGAGACCTGGGCAGGGATGACCATTGTACAATGTACAATAAAACGACCCGTTGGATTAAAAAAGACTAAAAATTATATTTCGCTTGGCTCCGTAGATATAAATGGGTCAGCTTTACTGGGTTAGGACCACGGTCTCATGAAATACCTGCATAAAATAGAAGCTTATTGCTGATGTGTTTCGTATGGTGTATGTAGAGAACCAGAGACCCTTTTTACTGGAAACGAGGCATTCCATCATATTCTTCAGGGGTGACAACGCATTTGCATTTTGATTCTTAATCGAGGCGAATGTGGTTATTTATGAGTCACAACATCTGTAATAGGTATAAATATTAGAGACATAACATTTTTTTTCTCCAAATTTAAACTTTATCTACACGTGTTTAAACTTTCCTTTGTTTATTATGTTTTATATTAACGTAGTATAAGTCGTAATTTATAAACATTGATAAAAATCTGAATAAAATATTTAAAAAAGTATAACCGACTTCAAAAATGAAAAACAAATAATAATTTCCAAGTCCTAAGCTTCTGAATTGTATCTTGATTCATGATTAGTAGAGTAGCTTGCTGCTGTGTTTCGTATGGTGAGTCTAGAGAACCTCGTTTCCAGTAAAAAGGGGAGACCCTTTTTACTGGAAACGAGGCATTCCATCTTAGTCCTCAGAGGTGACAACGCATCTACAATTTTATTCGTAATCGAGGATAGATGTAGAGGTCTATGGGCCACAGCAACCACTTACCATCAGGTGGACTGTGTGCTCGTTTATCACCCTATCCTATAAAAAAAAAGTGTTGAAGTTGTTTTTAAAATATTAATTAGTAAATCAGAGAATAAAAGCCCCGACTTCGGCATAAGCTAATATGTGGAAAATGGAAGTTATTTTATTCTTTTGGGTATTTGAAGCCGGTTTGCTTTTGAATTTTAATTATTTAACGCTAATAACACAAGTTCAAGGTTACGATTGGAGTGTCGTCTACATAATTACATTAAAACCTTCATTCCCTATACTCTCGAATTTAAATTTATATATTGTTATATAAGGTAATATTTTTTTACGGAATCTATAAAAAAATATAGTAAAATCCTTTCTCAATGAGCGTCTGAGTTTGAGACATTGCAAAATTGGTAAATTTCATACGTAATTAAATTTCAAGTGATGGTGAGTCAGTCATTAGTATTTTGTAACGTCTGTAAATGTTATCGTGATTTTTAACAATCTTTCATGATTTGACGACGTCTGGTTTTACTATTTGTTACCAATGGTGATTTATATTCTGATATAGTATTCCTTAGTTAAGACTTGCAACATCCTCATGAACATGACACCATCGAGTAATTTGCTAAAAGATTCATTGTACAATTTGGTAAAACTGTAAACCATGAAAGAAAATAAACAGTAAAATGAATTTTGGACAGCCCTGAAAAGGTTCAAGTTAGTTCAATCAACCCTTCCTCTCACGGTCTTCTTCCCGATTCCTCTCACGGTTACAGCTTACGGCTCAGTTACTTGCCGAGAAGGGATTACGCCACTCGCTGCCATATTCCAGCAAAAAGGTACATTAATATCATTCAAAGATTCTGTTTAGTAATAATTTTATTTAATTAAATAAAGTAAATATAATAATATGTTATAAAGATTTAATTTAATAATAATAATAAATTTAAATTAGCGTGAAACGTAAAAATCAATAGCTATAATATCACTAATTTCTTACTTAAAACTCGATTTGAATGACAAGATATTGGCTAACCAATATTTTCTTTTAAAATTCTGAAGTTTCTTGTGAAGGCATCTTCTTTCTTACTTTTAATTATTGTTATTTAAAAATAAAATTGTAAATAATATTTTAATACAACATAATATGTTAACGTTGAACATAGTATCTTAAGGCGGTATATAATATAATAAGACATGCATTATAAATAAGAATGTCCTCCAGACCGAATTTCGGTCACGGCGTCCAGCCTCAGCGGATACCAGCCATCGGCGCAGGACAGGATTATAGTACTCAAGTGTATGCGCAAGCACAGGTGCACTCTCTATTCCCTCACTCTCATAATTCGATGGGAACGGTAAACCGACACAACCGAAGAGTGATCAGGCGCAGTATCAACGGCTTTACGTGCTTTTCGAGGCACGGGTGTGAGACACCGCCAACTTCCTGACTCCAGGCAGCTACTGAGAATTTCTTGACGGAAAAACTCAGTAATTGATTTTTGGCCCGACCCGGAATTCGAACCCAGCACCTCATGATCAGCAGGCGCACTACTACAACCACTTGACAAACGAGGCAGTGCAAGCAAGTGATTCAAGTACTGTATTTTGTATCTGATATCGGTATCCTATGGTGGAATCCTATATACGATAATTTACTTGTGGATGGCTATAATGTAATATATATAAAATAAATGATGATGATGTTGATGATAGATTAGCATTTTATTGGTGGTAGAGCCACGCTGCGGCTATATTATGGTTGTAGCACAAATTGGGAAGAACCACGCTCTCACAGAATACCACCGTAAGATAACAGCTACAACTGCCACTGAAACTTGTTAATTACTTAAATACACCACCACGTATTACATCTCAGCGCAGCTATGAAGCCTCGTCTCGACTCTCTCGAGAAAACAATAAACAAAACAAAAAGCAAAACAACAAGAAAAAAATGTATTGTGTGAACATGACCTCAACCGGTCAAGTCGGTCAAAAGCTACTCAATCACTTACAGGCGCACCAATGATTATGATTTCCCACCAAAACCATCAATAAGAAAAGAAGGTCAAGTTCAGTGCAAACAACGTCCAGGGTTATCGGTTGCGCCGATACGTCTTTTGTATTTTATTATTGAGGTAGCTTGAAACCATATTTTAATTTTCTAAGTAACCTGTAAGTGTCCTGGTCCTGGGTTTTGACAAGTGAATTAATATTAAAAACTGCACTTTCCAGACCTTTATAACTTAAGAACTCTAATAGGTTAGTTAATGAAATTTCTTTATTGGGTACCTATTTGTTTTTTTTTATATTTGAAATTGACTTAAAATAGATCGTATAAATATAAGGGTGACGGTGCGTCTTTTTTTTCCAACTTGGCTAACGCACTGCGATTTGACTAAATATAAAGATACATACGTACATTTCTGTTTTGAACCTTCACCATAATCACGTAAAAAGCTGCCCATCTCCCGTTTAAGGTAGGATTTGCCTTATTCCTAATCACTCAGTCGGATAACCGATTATAGTACCATACAACGCACTATTAACGCTGCCGCCCAATGCCGGTACATATATTTTAATGTGTGGCGTAAATAATTTAGTTATAGTCTATCGGAATTCAGAATCATTTCCGTTTGTATTATGTGGTAGAGCTATCCTCATTATATCATTGGTGTCGCACGCATGGGTTTACTTGACCGCGAAAGGACCACACCATCACAGACTATCAGCGACTACAGTCTCGCAGTAGAGAACTGAAGACTTTTCTTGCTGGAAATGAGGAATTTCATCTTAGTACTAAGGGGTCGAAACGCATCTGCATTTCGATCTTTAGTTATCGATAATGATTTCTTAAATTTACGCGAACACTACACGTTGTACAAATATTGTTTACGGATTTAATCGCGTTTAATTACTACTTTACTTATTTTTACTATCCCGACGTTTCGGGTGCTTTACAGCAACCATGGTCACGGGGGGACTGAGATGTTTGACGTCCCAATGTCATAGTTAGTCCGGCTACTTTCTGTTTTTGAATATAAATTTTTTGTCCCATTCACGCAAAACGAGCTTATAGTATCATGAAGTCTTGGAGTGGTGTGCTCGGAGCGTCGGTGCTTCACGTCAGCTATATGTTCCTAACGTGAAGCACCGACGCTCCGGGAAGTCTGCAGTCTGCGAACAAGTTCAAGATCGTCCCCACCATTACATTAGATTTGATAAACCACAAATCCTCGCAAAAGAACACCGGTTTAAACCAAGGATGATACACGAGGCTATTGAAATTAAAAAACATGCAAATTTCAATATAGAAGATGGATGGGTGCTGTCATCTGCTTGGGATCCTATAATTAACAAAATTAAACCCAAACCTAAGCATACCACTACAAGACTTCATGATACTATAAGCTCGTTTTGCGTAAATCGGACCAAAAATTAAATATTCAAGAACTGAAGGTAGCAGAGTTTTTGAAGATAATATTGGTTGGCCAATACCGTGACTATACGAGTATTTTACGTTTCACGCTAATTTAAATTAATTATTATTATTAAATTAAATCTTTATAACATATTATTACATTTACTATATTTGACGCTTATTTAAATTAATAGGGACGTCAAACATCTCAGTCCCCCCCCCCCCCGTGACTGTGGGTGGTGTAAAGCACTCAAAACGTTGGAATAGTAAAAATAAGTAAAGTAGTAATTAAACGCGACAAAATCCGTAAATAATAGTTTTATTCAATGTTTAGTCATCGATTTTAATCCACAATTTTAAACCACGGCATTCATATAACATTAGGTGGGTTGTGTGCTCATTTGCCACCCACATTGTATAAAAATATCGGCATTTCCCGTAGTAGTCTACAATACCTACGGGATGAAATTGGGTGATGAATAAGTTATTACATTATTACCCACTTATAATAATTAATACATTATGCTTTACTTTCACAGATGCAGTGCTTCATTTGTGTAATGTATATGATAATATTTTGCACTGCGTTTCCTTCAAAGAATATAGAAGTAATAACCGAAGTTCCAAATGAATCGGTTTTTTTAACCCAAAAACACAATGGTCAATACTCTCAAACTAAAATAAATAAAATGAAATTAGTAAGTGAAGAAAAATACAAAGGAATTGGTATTAATAAAATAGTAGATGTCGAAGCAGAACTGAATCACACAATATACAACGCAAATGAATCAACGCCGCACAAAAAACTGTCTTTTGTAACAGAGAAAGAAGACGTAGCTACTAAAACAAAAGAAAATAACAATTTTCAAAATTATATCTCGAATGAAATGAAAGATTTAAGTCAGATCGGTGATAGAGAGCGTCTAACAATTATTTATCCAACGGTTATAGTTAATTTGCGAGGTACGATCTACAGCAGCAACAGCGACGTTAAGCTTTATGAGAAGAATAAAGATAACAAAAGACCTAAATCTCTAGAAACAATTCCACTGGTTGAGACAGCCTGAAAATAATCGACGGATATTCTTCAAAAAATAAACAGAAAAACTGTAATGAACTATTTATAATATTATAAGTATTTTTTTTTAAATTACAATATTAAGAATTAAAAAATAACACAGCAAATATATAAATGAGGTCTAGCGATCCACCTCGGCTTCACACGGGTGATCTCGATAACAGCGCCACCTACCAAGTAATTGATTTTTATATTTAAGATTGGTTGTACACATTTTAGCTTTTATTTTCTTTTAGCTTTTATTTTCGCAAATTTGGTTTATGTAATCTTTTCTTTATTGTTTTTAAGCAACGGCTTATAATTACAGCAAAAAAGAAACATTTTAATGTGACAAAATAAAATTTATTAAATTTGACTAAGATCCTTTAAATTAGTAGTTAATGTGAACGTGCGTATAGTACGAGTATGAGAAACAAAGTCTGACCTAAAGAGAGGAAGATATAAAAACTTATTCTCCAAATGCCAACTTTACCTGAACGAGGTAACCAAAGAGGTCTTTCGACCGTGTATTTAGCTGGTTAATAATATTAACCACCAGTCTCCGCGTGTGTGTCATAAAAGGCGACTGAAGGAAACTCAAACAATTTCCTTGTAACCAATACAATAAAAAAATCTGCGTTTGCAAACTCGTCTGTAAAGCATTGCAACTAGGGTGAAAACCCCCGTACTAGGCAGTCTATAGGTAAGGCCTATGTTCAGAAGTGAAATTTTATAGGTTGTAATCGATGGGTGTGTGGATGACAACATGGGTGTGTAGATGTGGATTGTATAATGACAATACATTTAAAGTAGGTAAAAATTACCGCGCCCATATGGGCGAGGTAATTCTTACTAACTTTAATATAATGGATTTAGATTAAGCCTAGATAACGAAATAAATTATAAATAAATGAGAAGAGAATTCCATGCGTGAAACCCACTTGAAACAAGTTAGTTTGATGATTATACACAAATATGCAAAAATTCATATAAACTTAGCGTCAAATTTAGGGAATACTATGTAAAAAAAATTTCATAAATATTTAAAAGAGTGTGCTCCATATCCAAGTCTTTGTAAAACTGGTAAGGTCAACTCTCGCAATTCAAAGTACCATTAAAGTTTTAACAACAATTTTTTTAGTCCTTCTTTCTTTTTTTTTTTTTTTTTTTTGGGTTTCAGTGGTGTCTGTTGGGTTTTTTTTTTTCGGCCATGATTGAACTGCTTAAATATATCTTCCATCCATGGGAGAATTCACATGATGCTATAGGTATATTTTGTGAACTATCCAAAGCCTTTGATTGTGTTCACTATGAAACATTAATCAGGGAACTTCGACACTACGGTGTAAGAAGTAATGCTCTTAAATTAATTAATTCATATTTAAGTAACGAAACGCAAAAAGTTGACATTAATAGTATGAGTTCTGCCGGGTTGATAGTACAAATAAGCGAGCCTCAGGGCTCAATTTTGGTCCCTTTTTGTTTCTTGTATATATTAATGACTTACTTTACATAGTAGGGGATAACCATGATATAATATTATTTCCTGATAACACTTCATATTTATGAAATTAAAGTTACTAAATTATAACGAAGTAAATAATGCTTGTAAATTTAATGTTAACATTTTGCGTTTTAAATGGCACTAAAACTGAATATATGAAATTCGTAACTCCGAATGTCAAACATGTTAGTACTAATGGAATTTTAAAGGGGGAGGAGCTGAGTCACACTAGACGCAAAGCTTCAATGGAGCCTCCATATATCAAAACTAGCAAGCAGAATTAGTTCTAGTGCATAACTGTAAAAATATTGTTAGTCTTACTAGTGTTAAAACAGCTAGACTATTTTACTTTAGCTACTTCAATATGGTGGGTATTCTGCTACGGAGATACGCGACTGACACTAAAATTATATTTGTTTTACAGAAGAAGGCCCTTAGAGGGCCCTTCTATGATTTAAAAGCTAAAGAGTAGGTCAGACAAAAATTTAAAAAAAATTGATAGATTAACTTTGGCCTCTCAATACATTTATGAAAATGTAAAATACGTACACAAAAATAACAGTAGTTTTACAAAAATAAGTAATATTCATTCTGAAATACTAGGAACAGAGACACGCTAGTAGTACCAGTTCCTCGACACCACCGAGTCAGTAAATCGTAAGATATATACGCTTTTACAACAAAATCCCAGAAAATGTACAAATTTGACCTGCAGAGAGTTAAAAACTTTATTAAACTAAGTTTTCTGTAATGTATATATATATATATATAATATTTTTAAGTACACTTTTGTTGGACTGTGCATTAGCATGACTACTTAACCTAATTAGGCCAAAATACAGCTACCAGAACAGCATGACTTAATTTCTCAAGTGTTTGATTTGAATTACTTTCTTTTATCATCCTCAAGTGACAAACGAACCTACATGCCACCTTATAAGTGGCTACTGCAGTCCATTGACACCTGCAGCTAACTTCGAACACAAAGGTTACAGATAACGCATCTGTCACGTCTGAGGATTACGATGGAATGCCTACCCAGACGGAGTCCTAGGCAGAAAGGAGTTCTGCCAACTAATGAAATTGAAATACCGTAGGATACTCCTCAAAAAAGCGACAAATAAACATAGTTAAATACGTTGATATATATGTACTACGCACTAGATTTGGCATTCCGAACATTCACTAAGTTCTACTGAACTGTACTGCAATCCGTACACCTGTTATTGTGGCTTCGATATTTATGCAGTGCAGATCGCAGGCGCTAATAATAATTTTATATTAAATTTGCACATATGCAAAATAAACGAAAGTTAAATAAAATGTACTCGATTCGCGCGTTTATATCAATTGAGCATGCGCGACTCTACTGTTTCCCGCGCATGTGTGGCTACAGAGTAGTGCACATTTTTTGTTTGGAATAGCTTCTCTAGTACGTAGTATGCTATAATAACTCAATGGTTAAATATAAACATTATCTAGGAAAAAACCGAGGAAATATTATTTAATTCCGACAGTAAAATAACTGATACCTAAGTGAAACCGCAAGTAATACCAAGTATAATCATAAATAAGAGTAATAATTTTAACTCGGTTGAAGTAGCACCTTATACTTTTTTTTTATAGAAGAGGGGGCAACGAGCGTGCGGCTCACCTGATGTTAAGTGACTACCACCGCCCATGATCAATCGCAACACCAGGGGAATTACAGGTGAGTTGCCGGCCCTTTAGAAAGGAGCAAGCTCTTTCCTTGAAGGTCCACAGGTTGTATCGGTCCGGAAAAATCGCCGGTGGTAAACTATTCCACAGAGAGGTTGTACGCGGAAGAAAACTCCTTTTGAAACGTACAGTGGCGGACCGCCAAGCATCCAGATGGTGTGGATGGTATCGGGACGTTTGCCGCGTAGTGCGTTCACGAAATTTGGCGGCTGGGATTAATCCAAACAATTCCTCAGAGCACTCTCCATGGTATATGCGAAATAAAATGCAAAGAGATGCAAAATCTCTTCGCAGTGCCAGTGAATCGAGCCGATCGGAAAGCACTCGGTCGTCGACGATTCGAGCCGCTCTGCGCTGGATGCGGTCAAGTGGAAGGAGCTGGTACTGGGCAGTTCCAGCCCAGAGATGGGAACAGTATTCCATGTGCCGCCGAACCCGCGCCTTGTAAATTTGCAGGCGGTGTGCCGGCATGAAATACTGTCCCGCTCTGCTGTGCACGCCAAGCTTTTTAGGGGCCAATTTGGCCTTCTCTTCCAAGTTGACTACAAAACTGCACGTCACTCGATATGTCAACGCCGAGGATTCCGATACTGGCTGAGGCAACAAGGGGAGTGCCTTGAAACTGAGGAGATATGACAAAGGGGTTCTTTTTAGCGGTTAACGCGCAAGCTTGTGTCTTCTGGGAGTTAAATTGGACTAGATCTAGTCGCCTCCAATCCGAGACTGTTCAGCAATGATTCGAATTCAGACACAAGTTTGTCCCGGCACTCGGAGACGTTTTCCCGAGAAATTTTGGCTCGGCCGGTGTAAAGAGCATCACCAGTGCTGTCATCTGCATAGCAATGAATGTTACGGGTTTGCAAAAATATCATTGATATGCAGAAGAAACAGCGTTGGCGATAGCATGCAGCCATAAGAAAAACGAAAACACAAACGAAAATACAAACGAATGTCATAAGAAAAACAAATAAATAAAACGCATACCACTAATATTATTTACGTACGCCATTGGAATTGCAATAGTATCTTCTGATAGCAAATTTTGCGAAATACTATGTGTTCCGGATGGCCGTAGTTCCCGACTTAAGAAGACAGGTTGCTATTTAATTCAGGACAGGAGTTAACAACCGCGCAGTTAATTTTATTTTATCTTATTTTTGAATATAAAGTTAAGTTAAGTTACAGTTAAGTAAAGTTACAGTTATTGACTTAAATCAACTAAATATTTTACGGATTTTATCGCGTTGTCTTACCAACTTTGTACTTGCCTGACTTAAGATCCTAGTACTTCCTCGAATGTATTTTAGTAGATATCTTGACATAGGTAGGAATGATTTTATGGTTGATGATGAAGATATTATATATCTTGCGCGCATAGTCTTGAGATCTTGAATTGGCGTATTTTATTTCCAATTTCCAGTCCATGCTACTTTAAAATAGTTTTATTTAATGTTTAATGTTAGCTTAAATATAAGAATTCATTATGTAAAGTTACAGCCTAAAAAAAATTTAACTTCTCATTTATTTTCTGAAAGGGAGCAGTTAACCACTTCACATTCCTTCAAAATATTTTTTCATTTCTTAGATATAATGGCTTTGTGGCGCATGTAGCATTTAGTTACGGCACAAAGGCAGTGGGTGCGAGTCCTGCACGGAAAAAGTATTTGTATGGCCTACAAATAAGTAATTAATATTTTAATTACTCATTTTGTATATATAAACTATATGCAATAACAATTTTATTAGTGCAGGCTCGGCAATTTGCTTACGTACTTTAAATTTGACAGCAAGTTTCTTTTGTATATCGAAAATGACGAATTTTTATTTTCCGAATATTCTTGGTCCGCTGTCTGAGACAACAACTAATATGTGACAATAAAATTACTTTTGTATAGCCTTATTGATGGTGTCGGATTAAAAAAGAATCTCTATCACAAAAGATGTCCCTTGGCCGCGGCGACACCGTCTTTGCAAAATTTCACATTTGCTATCAAATTTTATACTTTGCATTTTAGTTTACTTTAATTAATTTTCCATGGAAATCTAGATTAAACCTGAAACTAATAACAAACTACCCTTTGTACAAAGACTGAGGTTTTATATATATATATATATATATATATATATATATATATATATATATATATATATATATATATATATATATATATATATAAACCTCCATATATAAGGGTTGATTTGATTGTTCTATCGCCAGATAAAACTCATCAATAAAATAAATTATAACCTAACCGTATTCAAAAGTGAAGCAAATGAACTATCATATTCATTCAACTGTAATTTTAAACTTCCCGCTAAGAAAATCGTAAATTTTCTAAAATCGGGGACAAATGTTTTTACTTTTTTTCGAATAACTTTTAAACAGCTTTGCTGATCAATTCCAAAAACTAAGCAGCTTTTTACATAGGAAAATCACTTTGTTCGCCGCTGGTCTGGTCAAAAACGGTTGATTCGTTCATGAGATATTATCTTTAGCGAAATATTTAGATTTTTTTTAACTACTCTATATAATATTACATATTTAACGTCATAATTTGGAGAAATTTGGAGCGTTTTACATTTGAAATTAGAGGGAAGTTCCAAGGGTGGCTTGCAGGGTCAACTAATTTTTTTTTAATTTGTTTATGTTGAATTTTATTCTATGAAGAACTTTTGTTGTGATAAATGAAAAGTCGGTCCTAACGAAAAATATACATATTATATTTAAAACATAGTTCGTGTTTAATATTTTAGATGAAAGTTGCGAGTAACATCGTATAATTTAAACTTTAAAAAATATAACTGATACCTTACTATACAATGTTTCACATAATATTAACAGCTAATTTTGTATAATAACTCTTATAATACGGCTGTAAGTAATAACTTTTCTGTAACTTTTATGTTGAACGCTTGGCTCCTAAATCCCTAGTGTTTTCCAATAAATAAATAATTATTCGAGAAGTAGGTGGTAAACAAAAAATTATTACAAATAAATTTCTTCCTTGAGCACCCCTGGAACGGTTCAAGCGAGTTCAATCAACCGTCGTTGGCTTCCCGGTTCCTTTTGCAGTAGCGGCACAGTTGTGAGCCGTGACGAGCTACGGCCAGTCGCACTATACGAGCCAATTTCAAGGTAAACATACTAATAATCTCGTAATAGATTTTAAAGTGACGGTACGAGCAGAAGGCTTGCGCAGTCTTTCGTTCTATTTTTGCATAAGTCAATGCCTCGTGCTAGCGTGTATTTTAAAGTGTTGGAATTCGTTAAGGTTTAGAATAGATGCAGTAAAAATGTCATGTAGTATTTGTCTTTGTCTTTACTAGGTGGTAGTACTCCTTTCCAGCCTGGGTTGCTAAGTAGGTATTAACTTATTCCTCTATATCAAGTGAATTGTTTGACCCATATAAGCCTATATCTATCCTAGATTACGAATCAAAACGCAGATGTTACCCAAGATGATTTCAATGACAAAAGATAATTTTAAAGTTTTTAAAGGATGATTCTTACCCTACCAATTCTTCTCTTGTTTATCACTAATATTTATTGTAACCTATTTATCAAAAAAAGGATCCATAAAATTGGATCACAACTGTCGAAGATAGCGTTACATACATACAAAAAAGAACTTAAAGTCGAATTGCAAATCTCCTTTTCTTGAAGTCGGCGAAAAATCACGACAGCTTATCCTTCCTGAGGAAAACCAAGCCATAATAGTTAGAAAAAAATATTTATAGAATAAGCTGTATCTTGATATTATATAATTTGATAAGGTTCGTAAAAATTTAATACGGTGCCAGATCGTACTATCGTTGTCATTATCATTACAACAGCTTTTTACAAGTTTACTTTTGGTCTCCAAAAATAAATTCTAATAATATAGTCCTGAGCTCTAAGCCACCTGCATCCATAGAATGTCTACGTGTCTTATCATTCATGGTGGTTCAAATAGTGTATACCTCAAAACATAAACTTCATCCATTTATCCCGTTAAATATGGTTTACGTAGTACAATATATTTTTGGTGAGAATATCACCAATATTGTAAACACTATTAATACTTACTAAACAAGGAGTTGTTAATTACTTCCGAATTTCGCGGTTCGTATTCCTAACCGTTAGGCTACTGTCGTTACTAAATATTATTCTTATTTTCAGATGCAGTGCTTCATTTGCGTTATTTATATGATAATATTATGCACCGCACAACCACCTAAGGATCGTAAAACAGCAACTACCCACGAGGAACGATCACTTTTCCATGATGTCATCGAGTCTTTACGAATTCGGTCACAGCTGCCTGAAGAAATCAATCACACTGACGATAACAACCTATCCCAATACTACGAAAATTACGCCTATGAAAATGAGCCTGCCGAAATTCCAAGTGTCATGGACTTCATACCACGGAGAAACGATAGAATTGAAATGCCATCACTGAAGTACAGATTTCCTAAAAGCATGCAAGCTAACGAAAGTGAATTTAAAATGGAGAAAAAGAAAGAAGATATAGTTATTTATGTTAGTACACCAACTGAACGATCAGAACCTAAATCTACAACGCAAAAGTCAAAAAAAGAACCAAAACCAAACAGTAAAGTGAATTTTGTTAAAAATAACGAAGATATACCTGAGTCTGCAACTGATGTAATTAAAGACGATTACAGGCCATTTATAAATAAAATGGAAGATTTGAGCCAAATAGGAAACAGAGAATATCAAACAATTATCAAGCCCACCGTTATCGTAAATTTTCGTGGCACAGTGAGTCACAGAGATGGTGAAATAAGGCTAGAAAAACGAAATAATCCAAAAAGGAAACAGGACACAGACGAAGCAAGAAATATATTCAATATTAGTCAAGAAATAAAATTAGAAAGACCAAATGGCATTGTTGATGTTGAAGGAATGAGACGCTTCCATAACAAAGTTAAACAAAACGTTAATGTTGTTTCAAACAATTTAAAAGAAAAAGTTGATGAGAATATGACAATGTGTCAAACATCTATCTCATCTTCGGAAGAAAATGAACGCAACGCGCGAGAAAATGATAACGTTTTTCAAATTGTAGTTACAGTGTAGGCTTAGTTAAAATAATATATTAATTTTTCGAAATTTTTACGAATGGTTTCCTATTTTTTAAAATTTCCGAAAGCCACTATGTTGTAGCATTAATTATCTTTCAATAGTTAGGTATTTATGTTTATATACCTATGAAATGAAGAGATGAGATTGAAGACTGAATGTTTTAGGTTATGCTTTAATGATTTACAATAATAAACCTATGTATTTTTTATTTTTAGTTTTAATAGTAGTTTTATATATATATATATATATATATATATATATATATATATATATATATATATATATATATATATATATATATATAAAGGGACGATTGAACAAATTATTTACACCGAAGCTTAATGATAAAGAAGTACCCATTCTCCACTGGAGTTAAGTATTTTCGCGTAACAATTGAACAAAAATCAACGCAATTTTGTGATATCTCAAAAAACCAGGACCGATTGACCCTCTTTATCACAATAAATCACTTAAGATCTGGTCTTATAAACCAGTTAAAATAATATTAAAGACAACTTCGGAAGTCCTGGGATTAAGTAAGAATAAATTACATATTCTGGCAAGAACCCTGAGCACATACACATTTCTATCTTGGGACTAAGCAACTTAAGGTTTTTTTGCTCACATTGCTCACAGCTAAGCAACTCTATCAATTCAATGAATATATAAGGCTTAGCAGTGAACTATAGCCATAGCAGTGATTACAATAGACCATACTGGCCGCCGCGATACTGTTTTTTAGACTTGCATAGCTTATTGGCCAAAATAAATAATAAAATAAAAAATCGACTTTAGAATGTGAATTAATTTTATTTTTATTAATTCTTTAAAGTAGGCTTTTAATTTTCATAATAAGTAAATTTTTGGCATGTTTGTTAAAAATAACGACACCATGCTTGAGTCCGTGCCAAATGAGCTGGTTTAATGTGACTGATGCTGACCGTCACTTCTCTGTCGTTGACATTAATTGTGCCAGTCTTGTCTAAGTACATGGAGGTTGTAGTGGACGTCGTAAGATGTCGTTACGAATCAAAATGTGTTTACACGCCTCCAAATCTTTAAACATAAATGAAGATGGTCGGACGTTATGACCTGTAGGTACGGGACGCACGGCTTCCATTCGCAGTGTTAGTTAAAAGAGCAAAATGCACAACAACATTAGATCTCTCATATCACGGCGTTTCTCGAGGATACTACTGTCTAACTAGTCAATAATTGAGTTTACAGAAGAATTATATCGTTTTAAGTGACGCAAAACCTATTGTTAATTGTTTCAATCATTTTAACTTAAACTTTGCATTGAGGATTTCAACATGAAGAACAATATTCAAGAATAGACCGCACCAGTGTTAAATTATACTAAGGAGAAAAGAAATTACAAATACAGAGGTAATTAAGCAGGAATAATTCTTAGCGTCTTCTATTTCTATTCTCCGTCTTAACTACTCTGTAATAGAGTATAGATAGATAAATTACAGACCAATCTTGTAACACATAAAACGGGTTGGCTATAGATATTCGGTACTTGATTTTAATTATATTTTCGGTTTAGGAGGCTTGTCAGTCAGCCCCGACTTCACATAGTCTTGTCTGCCCTACCCCTAGAGTTTTTGGAAATCACGGAGCCCCTTTACCCTTGCGTAGCAATTTGCTACAGCGGGCGGGGGCTGCACTTCCCACAGTGCCGAAGCCGTTGCAGAAGTAACTTTGTGTCAATATTTCCGTGTAAAAAAGTGAAACTTATTCATAAGGTAGTGTGGCATTCCGCAACACTTTCTTACGAATAAGATTCTTCTCCCTCCTTTTATAATAAAAATTAATCTCACCAAACGTACGACAGTATTCTCACGAAAAAACATAATCATTAGAAAGAGTCATCTAGTTGTTTCTGCAAATATTTAGTATAAATTTTTTATCGATACTTATTTTACAGTAGTTTGTGACATTAGTACGTGTGCATTATACATAGGTGGCGCTTTTTCGAGTACAAATAGATTTGTAAATGAATGGAACGTTTTTTAAGTTAACAAACCTTAAGTAAAAGTAAAAATTGAAAGTGAATTTTGAGTTTTCTGTGTCGTTATGCTGTTAAATAATAATCCATCACATATTGTCGCGTGGGTGTCTTATGAGGCGACTACGAGAAATTGAGTAAAGCAAGAAAGATTCCGATAGTTGGCGCTATAGCTAATCTGCTCAACACGCGTTGCTATTAAGGTTTTTTTTATTAAACTAAAATCACAAAGTAAACGAAATTATAGTCCACTTGATGGTATATACGTGGTAGAGCCACGCTGCAGCTATATTATAGTTTTAGCACAAATGGGTTAGCTCGACCTGGAAGGACCAGCACACTCTCACAGAATACCAGCGTAAAAGACCAGCTTAATGCTGCTTTGTATTGTATAGAAAGTGTAGAGACCATTTTTACTGGAAATAAGGCTTTCCCTGTCAGTTTTCAGAATTTTCATACGACACGACTCGAGTAACTATCTCTGTATGTATGTCTGCCTTAATTAATTGTCGGAATAATTGAACTGATAGATAGTAATGAAACTTCACGAACAAATATAGAGCAATACTCCTGGTATTACTCTATATTTGTTCGTGAAGTTTCATGGTGAGGCTTGATTGTGAGGCTGTATTTTATCCGAAGATCCGATTTTTTTGTGGAAATCTATAATTTGATAAAGTAAATGGCCTCTAGTAGTTTTCTTAAACCTAAATAGCGCAACATTAATAGATCCTACGCAGGCAAAGCCGAGGCAGGCCGCTAATCTTAATATATATAATACTTCTGACCGTGTATATGTGACTGAACTTTTTTTTAATAGGAAATGGGTGACAAGCGAGCACACAGTCCACCTGATGGTAAATGGTTGCTGAAGCCCATAGACATCTACATATATCCTCGTTTGCAAATCAAAATAAAGATGCGTTGTCAACCTTGAGAACTAAAATGGAATGCCTCTTTTCCAGTAAAAAGGGTTTCCGGTTCTCTACACTCATCATACGAAACACAGCATTAAGCTGATATTTGACGCTGGTATTCTATGAGAGCGTGGTCCTTCCCCGGTCGCGCTGACCCATTCGTGCTACAACTATACAAGGAATATAAATGAACTCCCTTTAAACGGCTGGACCAGTATTTATGAAATTTTGTGCGAATTCACAATTGGATTCAGTAAGTGACGTAGTTGTCGAGATTCAGAAATCACCCGTGCAAAGCCGGTGCAAATAGCTAGTATTTTATGAAAATACATTGACAAAAATGCCAGACGACATTCACTAATTTCCTTGACATTTTGAGAGTAATTTAGGAACATGTACTCGATCCAATTAGGAACTTAAGATTCAAATCCTGTCCCGTGATATTTACTTGCAGGCAGATAATGATTTGAAGCTGTGTTGCATCATAATATATATCGCAGATTTATTACGAATTGGTTGTTAGGAGGAATCATTCGTGAAGGCGTAAGATAATTCATTCAATTGCTCCATTTCGTCTCATGAGTGTCGTAATACCAATCGACCAATATCCACAGATATTTAAACGGCAATTATCACCATAATCGTTCACAGTTAGCTACTGTGAGAATATCTTTTTTTTTTCAGAGAGCACAAGCGATCTGTGACAGTAAACACATGTCCTTAACTGTGGTAACTAATCATTTTTCTGACTTTCAACAGTGGGATTATAATTTATAACTAAGATTTTATAAGTGCACTGAATTAAAACGTGTATAAGTACCTACTTTAACGACAATGTCGACATTGGGAAGGAACGTAAGGCACTGGTAGTTCAGTGTAATGTTTTAGCGCGCTGGTTAGCGTGGTGTTGTGAACAAGTAAAGATAACATTTTTTAAAATAAAGTTTTCTACACGTGCTTCTTGTGCTCAAAATTTTCACAGCGGACTGTCGACCCCTTACTCGGCCAGTACAATAGCTCCAGGGTTTTGTCGGGGTTATCCAATTTTACAGTGCGGTAATATGATTGTAAGAAAATAGCCTCGTTGCTCGGTTTGCCAGCGCGGCGGGCTAGCTTTACTCCATTATGAAAATAATTGCTGAAAGATATGACTCATTTCTTCTTAAGCAATATTACCGTCACAGTTTATTCAATAATAAATTCAAATTCAAAGTATGTATTGTAAGTTAAGTGTTACATTTGGTATTAATTTAAAATATGATATGTCTTACTTACTACACTACTTACTTAACTACTCTTTTCGAGTATAAATACATTAGTTATTGTATTAGGTATATGCCTAACATAAGTTACATACTCAATAAAGTTCATAGTTGATATGAATTAAAAAATTTACCGATTTTATAAAAATATATTTCTTAAAATTACGTAGGTACTTACAAATAAATCAAGTGATTTTTTTATTTTTTTATTTTACTACGTGTTTTATCATATTCTTACATACTCATCCGAATTTGAGTTATATTCAAAATTTCAAGTTTTCAGCTCCTGGGGAAATTAGTTTAAAATCAATTACTAAATTCCGCCCAAAACAACAGACAAACGAAGAAACAAACAAGAAAGTGATTTAATAAGAATTTGGTAATATAATATAACTAAACTTGTCATTAATAATAAATTAAGACGAGATGTTACATACACCTAATGTCTCGTCTTAATTTATTTGTGCTTGACGTTATACTGACGCGATGCTAATGGTTTAGTCAGCGTCAGACAGACGGGACAAACAACACAAAAAGAACCCGAAAACCAGTTTATGGTTTTTATAAGTTCACTCTGGCTGGTATTTGAATGCTTTACACTTTACATAACTTATGATAATATTCGGAGAGTTAAGCCTGATACAGCTATTTGTGTTGGCGCTTGACAATCATTCTCTTAAGTCATAATATTAAATATTAAATTGTTATTATATATTTGAAAAAATACGAAATATTCCATTCATGCTTTTCTGCGTTAATTATACATGCAGGTTTCCTCACGAAGCTCTTGTTTAACCGCCA